CCGCCGCCACTCCCCACACTGCCCAAAGGCCTTCCCCACCCCGCACAACCCCCTACGCAAACGCGTCCAGTGAACGCGCGTTCACCGCGTTCATACCCTGAACACGAAACGCGCGTTCAATGAAACCGAGGTAACACAGAACTTCTCCCTCTCTATTATGGTCCGTGGGAAGTCCTGGACGTGATTGGTGATGATAAATTTGGTCCATACGTAATTGTCATGCCTCCTCATCTGCGCCCGTACCCTGTCTTTCACGTGTCAAAATTGTTTATATATCGTGATGCTAAAACCTTCAAATATCGTGAGAACATGACCCCTCGTGCAATCAATGGCGGTCACGAGATAGATAGAATAAAAAATCACACTGGGGAGGGATGTAACAAACAATATCAGGTTCATTTCATGTACCACCCGTTGGACGATCTCTACTGGATCTCTAAGAAGGAACTGCTGTGCAACGCACCTCGCGCTGTAAAAGCATACGAACGGCAGATAGCTTCCGGTGTTGTATCTCTTAAAAACTCACTCCCACTGAGTACTCACGGAATCTCTTCGCTCTGTTCGCTTACGACGTGTTTGTCAAGGACGCAGAATGAGTTACTCGCTCGAAGAGACCTCGCTCTTGAGTCTTGACGGGGGGGTAGTGTAAGGACCTGCCAAACATGGACTGAGACACACAACTGATTTCTGAGTTTTGCTGGTGGAATGTATGCCTTGCTGAGTTTCCCGCTTGTTGCTGAGTTTTCTAAGTTTGTGTGTGCGTACTTGCTAGTCTGAATGCATGTCTGAGTGCTTGTTGATTGAGTGTGTGTGTGACCCGCAAGGGTACCCGCCCATACGGGAGGCCCAAAGGGCCGGTACTTACCTGTGGCCGTGACATTGAGGGTTCCAGCAGGGAAAACACTCAAGTGGTGGGGAAAGACGCCCGCAACACTTAGCAGCGGAAAAACACTCAAGTAGCACATAGGCTGGTAGCACACCAAGTAGAGTTAGATGTGTCGGGTACTCGAGGACGAGCAGAAGAAGACAACGTTGGCATTTTTAGAGGCCCGGTAGTTATAGGTTAGGTCTAGGCGGGTACCAGTCCAACCAGTCTGAGTCCAGGGCCTGTACGGGGAATATGAGAGTCTGCAATTATATTTCCCTCCAAAAGGGAGGAGGTACCGGTTGCTTGGAGGCCGCGCGGCCTAGGAAGACACAGCCCAAGAGGCAAGCAGGCCGCTATATCTCCTGGAGGAGCAAAGAGCTCCTCCTCATTCTTCGGTGTGCAAGTTTGGCGACCTATGAAACACCCTCGGCGGCGGCCATCCGCGGCCGAATCCGCGGACGCAGCCAGTCCGCGGACCCCGCGGACGCATCCGCGCGGACGCGCGGCTTTGAAGCCACGTGGCGGCCGTGCGGGAGCGACTTTCAAAAAACGGGAGACGCCACGTGGCGGCGCATCCCCGGCACCACCCCCCCACACAAAAAAAAAAGGAAAAAGATCAACTTTTGGATGGGGGGGTATGGGCGAAATCGAAAGAAATTGAAAAAAAAA